ACATTGAAGCTGGTTTGGCTCCGATTAGGTCGCATTTGGGACACAGACCCCTTGGCTCGGCGAATAACGAACCCGGGCATTGCTGCTTTGTATATGACGCCGGAGGACCGGCTCAAAATGCAGAGCCTGCTGTCAGATCTAGAGACTCTTCGGGTTGCAGCCCGCTACGAAATTGAATTGAACGCCCCCTTTCCCGACACCGCATATGGCAAGATCATTCAACACACTCAATCCATCGTGGATGATCTCCATGCCTTAGATCTGCAGCTGCTTGGTATTCCTCCTTCCGAGCAGCAACTGTCTCTGCTGCGACACACATCTCGAGAGCGACAAAATCTGTCCGGGCAGATTAGCCATCTCTTAGGAGGTAAGTTCTCCCGCAGGCCCAGTCCACGTCGTAGTGGACGCGTTAGTATTGACACCGAACCTCAGCCATCGCTTCGTCGATCGCGCACGCACGTCCACCGAACCAGGTCGACCTTTCCAAAGTGAAGCATTCACGCGACCGGCTTCTGGCCACTATTTTCCTCTATCGCAGTGGGGACGAAACCTCTCCATCGGCACTTGAAGAAACCTACAGCCTATTGTATGCCTATAGTAAGTTCTCCCACCGATCATCCCGCCATTCATCGCGTTCCTGACGGGGACTCTAGTTCTCGTAATCGATCAGATCATCGGCAAGATGGCGGAGATTCTAGCCGATGTCGGTCGCTTATCGCCTGGCATAGGGGAACGTGTCGTGAATTACGACTAACCTTATGGGTTTGCCTTGGCCATGTACATACCTCGTCCCAGCTTCCAATGGTTAGTCGTTCTTTTTCTTTGGACTTTACCCAAGTGAAGGAGTGTTGCTATTTTCCATCCACTAGCGGGGTCCGCAGAATTAGATTTCAAAACCTCTGCTCAGCTGAAGCCGACTTTTGAGCTGTTCTAATTGAGGCTCCTGGGTGATCGTCCCGCTTCTTCACATCTACAACTGCCAGCCCTAGATTAACTCCAAGTAGGAGTATGTATAACATTATACAACTCATATTGCGGATACTCCCCGTAATACTATCTATTACAATTCATTTTGTAGAAGGTTGTTTTTATGTATCCTTTACCCTGTACTTTTTTTATAGCTACACTATCTTTTTACCCAATCCCAGTAGTATACAAGATAGACTATATTCTATAATAGCTTGTTTAGTTCCTCTTTTGCCTCCAAGCGGCGTTCATCCTTTTCCTTACGGCGCTTTCCTGCTCGGCTTGGGTGAAAAGAGTATATTAGCATGCATGAAAATGAATAGAAGTCAAATTCATTGAGTTATACCGTGCTTTTCCTCCTCTCTTTATGTTACGCGCAGTGAGCCAAAGGGGATTGTGATAGTCTTCTAGTCAGGGTTCTTACTTCCTGTATGAAGTGATTGAACAGCTGAGTAGAAAGGAGAGCGAAAGTTGCAATGTATTACTAGTACACCATACGGCCTATGTCCTTAGTGTAGGGAATTATACCCAGATGCTGATTTCATCATATAGAATCTTTCCTTGGCTATGAGACTAGGTGATAATGCCAAGTCAACACCTACGTCGAGAGTTTTATATGGAGGCAGGAACCCTTCAAACAAGATGTTCATGAAGATATCAGATGCTACAATTATTTCTCATCTGCTATAAGTAAGTAATACAACGCTAATATAGACAGTAACATAGTTTGAGCGGAAGTTGGAATCGAAACAATTCATCATAGCTTTGCCGGTACTTTCTGCATGGCTTCCACGACCTCACGAGCACCCCGTTCTCCTGAGCAGAGAGCCCCCTCCATGTATCCTTTCCATTCTGTGCTATATTCCGTTCCCACGAAATGGATATTGCCAACCGGCTTACCGTACACGGACGCGTATTTGGTGAGATGCCCAATCGCATGGACAGGAGCTAAAGCACCTCTGCTGAATTCCTCGTGCTTCCAAACCTGATCAAAGACCTCGATTGGCCGGAAGGCTTCCGAGTTGGCATCGGCGTTGAATATCTTCGCGATTTGCTTCAGGACCACTGCGCGACGCTCATGGGGGTACAGCTTGCCCCAATCACGCCCAGGCTGGCCATTAACAAAGCACGTCAAGGAGAAATGGTTTCTTTCATCCACGCTGGTGTCTCTGGCCAATATCACAGGACCTGTGTAGCTCGCGAAATACCCGTTGAATCCCTCACTCCGCCACCATGGCCTATCATAACAGACGATCGCCTTGTTATAATCACCGAGGACAGTCCCATCGGTGACCTCTTGCACTGGCTTGGGCAACGCAGGGGTGATGTTCAGTTCCCTATACATGGTACTGGGAATTGACAAGATACACTTCTTGGCATCAAACGTCTTTCCATCGCGGGTGACGACGCTTACATATGAGCCGTGCTCGTTGATCGAAGCAACTGGTGACCCCAGGTGAATATTCTGCGCTCCAACCAAGCGAGCAATTTCCTCAGCAATGGACTGTGCCCCTACAAGTTTTATTAGTCGTCTCCCTACATTCAACTAGCCGGGTAAGCCGTACCATCTTTGAATCTCATGTATTGACCGCCGGTAGAATCATCCGCCCTGATGGCCAGCAGGCCCTTATTGCGACGGCAGTAGTCAATAAACCAGGCGGCTGATTCTTCTGTGGACTCCAAGCCATGCATGACCCGTGCCCAGAGATTCACCATGTTGGCAACCTTGGGTAGGGCACCGAGATTGCGGACATACTGATCCAAGCTGACACTGTCATCCTGTGCACTTGGCAAGCCAGGCTTTAAAGATTCAGCTTGGATGTGATCGCGAATATACTCCAGGTTCTTCTTCTCCGCCTCAGACCACTGTATCTGTCCGTTAGAGCAGGCCTATTCTTGTGGGCGCGATTGGGGGACTAGATTGTTACTCACGTCGGGCGTAACGCCAAAAGGAAATTCAAGTCGACTGTCTTGATTTTCTTGCATGACAGCCGTTCCTTCTAACCGTTGCGTCACGACCTCCAGGCCAAATCTCTCCACATATTTCCAGACACGTGGCTGGAGGCTGTTGTTGATCCATGCTCCGCCGAGCTCAGCGTAGCCCCGGCCAGAAGCAAGTGGCACACTCCATATCTTGCCACCAACGCGATCCCGGGCTTCAACAACTGCCGCCGAGAGGCCAGCTTGTTGAGCCGAATAGGCTGCCTGAAGGCCGCTGAAGCCAGCTCCAATCACAATAACGTCCAACATGAGGGCGGATAATACGGTTCAAGGGTTATAGTACAGGTGAAGGATTCTCGCAATGACAACCAACGAAGGGGGTGTTGAGAGATATTTAATTCATACCAACCTACTTCTCCATTCAGTTGTCTGTCGGCTCTTGCAATCCAACTCCTGACCTTCATCGGGTGGATTGTAGGCCTCGGGTTCTCATCCGATGCGCTGACGATTTAATCGGCTGACCCGAAGGCCGAGATGGTTTAAATTACCCGATCCAGTTAGAAAAATGAGAGCACCGTCGACAGCCAAAGCCTTCACATCTCGGCCAGTTTTCCAGAGAGATGTTTTGGAAATAGTACATCTAGCTTGCAGTCTCATACTTTGAACTTCAGGGAACACTCTTTGACCTCCTCATTGACGCCCGCGGCCTGGGGCATCGGTAATACCCAGACCCTGTCTTGGCAATGTTCAGATCTCAAAGGTCAAATGTAGTCGCATATAAACCACCGCCAAACCGTATACAATGATGCAAACATGATACCAATTCCCCGTACAAGGGGAGGTATATGTCAGGGTTGTAAGACCTTTATAGTGCCATGGGCCTGTCTTCCGTTGCCAATGCACTAAAGTATGCTTATCTTAAGGATCTACTACCACGTGCTGAAAGCATGGCCGCTGCGCAGGCTTGGCTACCCTTATTACTAGGCTACTTATGTCCTACGGCGTTATTTCAATACTTTTCTCATGGGCCTGTCACATTGCCAGAAGACAGAATTAAGCATGGTCTTGGTCAGGGATTAGTGAAATTAGGGTTACATTGCTTTCGAACATTTCGTGATAGAACAGCGCCCTAGCATCCACTTATTCGTTCGTCTTCTTCTATAATATGATATTCAACCCTATGTGGCCCCATCAGCTGTGCAGCTACTCGAGATCGATTTATTGCCTAATGCGCGATAGGACCGGAACCAACACAAGTGAAGGTCGCTGGAATGCTGCATCTCCCGAATGCAACTTACGCAGGAACTATGTGTGCGTTGCGAGGGGCCCCAATCGGCTTATATGGATATTAAATAAATAATCGAATAGGCTACTTTAGCATGCTGGAAATAAAAGTCCTCATGGACGGCGACCATATGCTATATTTGTAGTCGAGCTGGTATATGGTAGGTTGGTGGTTTATTGCTAAACCCATCGTAGTGCGTAGAGGTAAGCTTAGTGATTCACCATTGCCATATTCTACCGTCTTTCCACCTATAAGTCACGAATGGTCCTAAGATATCGTTGCTTCCCCGTTATGCTGAATGTTTCTTCAATGGCTATCAGCATGTCGATGCGTCGGTGGCATTCGGCACCACTGCCCAAAACTACTAGTTCCTGTAGCTTGACCGAACTTCGTCTTTAATTTGGCGCGAGGGGTCTTGTTACAGGATCCAACCAGCCAAGGTTGTCGTAACCGCAGAAGACATAGGCTACTTCAGTGTGATTAGAAATATTGGAATTGAGGACTGGGATGAGAAGGCGAAATTCCTGGATGTGGTGCTCCAAGATTCCAATTTCTTCGAGTGCATGATATTATGACCTATTGTCTCAATGGATATTCACAATCAAGGGGCTGAGATGCAGGCCTCGATACCCATATAGCAAAGCCTCTAGTGGAGAAGGCACAAACGCTGCCATTATTGCCAGTTATTGAGGGGCTCGATACACCGATTCTTCATGGACACAGCACCCTCAATATCGACGACGACAAAGAGGAGGCGCTAGTCTGGTGTCGTAAGGAGGACGAGTGGGTGCAAGACGAGGACAACTAAGCAGTGCTCTGTAAGTAGTCCAAGGTTCAGGGGAGCTTGAACCTACAGGACAAGAACGATCATGACAGATTATATCTTCTATCCTTTCGGTTATCATCCTTTCGATGCAACCTCGCAGAGGAATATGGGTCTACTCAGCTCGGCTACAGCCACGCAAGATACGTGGATCTATTATGTGTTTGCATACTTCAAGTTTTCTATTATGATTTGTTTAATATAAAAGTAACAATTATAGTTCATACGATATATCGTTGATAGTCAATCTAGAAAGAAATTCGGGCAAGGTGCAGAGAGGGTGAGACGGTAGCAGTGTCGCCTGAGTCTATGGATGCAAGTTTAATGTGAATACGTTTAATTCTCTCATATGGCTCGTCTATCCTTTCTAGTGTAAATTACAATAACAGTGTTCAAGATATTTCCACCTCTAACCCCTACCACGCCCCTAGCGAATATCTAATCATCCACCTCGATAAGCTCCTCCAGCATAGAATCCAAGAAATTCTTCTGCTCCAACAGAAACCTCCTCATCTTAGGTATATCAAAGGGGCGCTTTGCAGCCTGGCGGCGTCGTTCTTCCTTCAAGATAATTCTAAGACGCTCCTCTAAGAGTTCCAGTCGATAGTCCGTATATTGACTGTACAAGCTGTTCAGCTCACTGATTCCCCGTACACCAGTGAGCACAGTCTCATCTTTAATCATCGGTGATTTGGGTCGGAACGATGTGACCATGCTAATCCGCTCACGACCACCGAGGGCCTTCAGCGCTTGATGCTCGATGTATCGCCCTTGTAACACCACAGCGGTTCCCTAGTATAACAGTCAGCATTCAATCCCAGCTTTTCTGGGATACATGTGAGGGACATACCATGGCTGGACCGCGAACCTTCATGATGTGTCCGTCGGGTCTCCGCAGGGCAGTCTCTCCACCAACCATGCCCGTGCAGTCCGACAGCATCGTCACGCAGACGAAGGGAAAGCTATCGTAATGCCAGGCAACAGCAGATGTTCTGTCCTCGACATCTACGGTCTTACCCAACGTGGCCGTGGTACCATCACCAAAAGAGATGTTGACGTTTCCGATCTCAAAATCAATCGAGGGAATGAGGTCCACACCGGCAACTTCGGAGATTTTGGATATAACCTCTGGATGATTCCACGCATCATAGATAAATGGAGCGAGTCTGGGAGAACGGTCAGTGATTCGCAACATGAAAGCAAGTAGAACACCGGTTGCACGTACGCAGGGCCCATGCCTCGAACCATGTTTTTAATGAAGGTGGAAGTGTATTGGCAATCTTTGAGGGCCTCTTCACTAAAGATTTCCGCTCTCATCTGCCTGATAGCCTCTTCGGTAAAGAGTGAAAAGGGCTCCGATGCGGCATTCGGTGAGATCCCATGACCCGCAAGTCCGATCTCCTTCATTGTGTAAATCTTTTTGGGAGGTTCATAGTTCAGGTGGACTTTGGGGTCAAAGGCTTCCTTTGTCACCATTCGTGCTTCATCAATCATAGATTGAGGAATCTGGTTGGTTGGGCGTGTTGCCTTTTTGGTTGCTGGTCCCACCACTCTTGGTGGTGTTGTAGGGTCGTCAAGTGCTGCTGGGGCCATTGTGTGAGAAGGTAGAGCACACGGAATGCTGCTGGGCTCGGAATTCGCTGACTTTGATGTTTGCTCAAGCTTGAATCTCTGGAGAATTATCATGTCCTACGCGATAGAAGTGAGGTATATATAACCATTGAGGCCAGTAGGATCTGCCCCGCAAATGTCATCTCCATCATTACTGAGGTTTTGACTACCTTCGGCATTCCCGATGAGGCTATTAGAATGTATGAGTGGTTTTCTATATAGGACGCCGTCGGCCAAAATTGCCGATTATACTGGGGCACTTTGCCCGGTGCGGTTCGCATGCCAGCTGACGCCTCGTCGGTAATGACCCCGATGTCCATCCCGTCGAGACTTCTTCCAACACATTACTATACGGGGCATTCAGCCAAAGACACCTTGCTGTGATAGCCCGTGCAAGAGAAACGGACTCGCTCACATCAGTTACAACGATCAATTCCTTTTACGGTAGGGAAGGGATATATCGGTTGTGCCGCGTCTTCCCATGATTTCATAACGCGGCGGTGCGCGTACCTCAATAACCATGACACATCTTTATCCATTTGGGCTCTATTTTACATCATTCGGGTATTAGAGTCCGGGGTTTATCACTTAGTACAAGATGTCTAATGGCCTCTTCATCCACCGTGAACGGTATGTACTGCGGAGAAGAACTACGTTTCCAATCGAACATTGACTCTAGGTATTATCCAACAGGTCCAACGCGCTGTAGCTTTGAGAGGAACTTGGCCGTTCTGTAGAAGGACTCGTCGCAGTGGCTGGATTACCGACATTGTATCTTATACGGAGTCTATGAAGTTCTAGGCCGTTCTCGTTCGATACCAGCTGTCTCATGACAGAGGGTAAATGTACAATTAGAACACGGTGTGTAATCAGAATGGGCTCTCATCTACGCAGTCTCTTTCCATTGGCTCCAGACCCCTATCAAACTACTCATGGTACCGGCCATGCCAACAACGCCGTCGTCGAGCGCAGGACAACCCAAAGTCTTTCCCGGGACGGTCAAGTCGCACAGGTCCGAGATGAGCTGAATCCAGGCAGCCGATCGCTTCCTAGAACCCAACCAATTAGCATTCTGCACTGCATGCGAATGATATACAAATCCAACGTACTTGGCACGTGTCTTATCATCCCAATCTCGTTCGCCGTCTTCGCGCTTCGTTCTCTTCCCTCGCTGCGAGTGCAACAAGGTGTAGAGGCACGTCATGATGCTGCAAATTAAACCAGCAGCCCAGAATTGATCCGCTAGAACATCTAGGCGCTCAGCTGACGGCAACTTGTGGATCCCGATCGCCTTGATTGCCGTGATGTTGTCGAAGAACAGGTATCCCCCAAAGCCGAGTTGACCCCCGATAGCCAAGTATTTTAGCACCGGTTCACTAGAGTTCGTCTTGCTCATGACACGGGTAAGGGTCTGGAGATTTCCTAAGAAGTTGCCGAGACGTAGGATCTTGCGCGTGGTACCGAGTTGCTTCCGGACGGCACTGTAAGGGTCGATCACCGACTGTCGGTAATTTCTGCGGTATAGGTGCCAGATGTAGAACTGTGAGAAGTACTGCGCCGTACGTAGAAGCTTGTCACGGCCCACTGGGATTTGATCCAGGTTATTCGGGTTGTTTCGTGGACACGCAGCGCAACGAACAATCAAAGTCCATAAATGTCTGGCACGGAGGGAGGAATCGAAGAAGGAGATGCAGCTAACATACCGGTCGTTGCGACAAAGCGGAAATAATGCGCCAGCACAGGGGGGCAGTCCAGCGTATTTGCGACCATGATCTCAGTCGTCGATCAACGTTGTTCGCAATAAGTGCTGCGGGTCGGACAGTCGAGGTGTGTCGCGCAAGTTTCCGCCACACGCAATAGCGAAGAAATCACAGGTATTGTAGAGACGATGTTGACGTGAGATAGGCGCGGATTGGGCGTTGTTGTCTGGCGTTGGGAGAACGAAAATAATCCGCCGCACATCTCATGCCAAATCGGGTGGAAATCTCGCTGGCGATTCCGAGATCTGGAAATAGAAGATCCCTCGGCGGCTATCGCGTCAGACATCAGCATCATCGGCAGTCTGTAGAAGACACTGACCTCGTATATCGGGTCGACCGTGACGAACTTTTCCTTGATTCCAAGTTTCAACCAGTTTGCCAAAGCCAGGGCACCGTCGAAGCTATCGATTATATGGTCGGCGAATCCGACTATAAGACCGGGAGGCCTTCCGAAAAGGTCCCCACTTGGCCACTTCAGTATCGCCAGCTCAACTTGTTTTCTTCAGCAGAATGATCTCTATTATATAGTAGCCCTATCACTGCCCTTATTAGCGTTATTAGTAGTCATTGAAACTCTCTCAACACCAAAGTTGTGTCCAAGTTATTCCTAGATGTCCTCGGTCTTAGAGGTCCATGACTAGGTTATATATATACTCTTAACGTTAATAGCATGCCCATGTTTAGCCACTTGATTAGTATAATGATTCAGTGAATACTACAAAGTACTACCCGATTATATGTAACAGTTTCCTTTACCTATCATATCATAATAACATGGTTATTCCTATGTGTGGTTTTGAAGAAGCTGTAGTTATTGGTTCTCGTCCGTAAGGGTCGAGAGAGAAAGCAGAGAGATGCGCGCACGTGAGGCAGGTTTGCCCTGGAAGGGTAAGTGTTAACGCACGAATAGTCGTGTGTTGTTTGGTGGCGACGATGGAGAATTGACCACTCACGTGGGTTGACTGAAAAGGGAAAAGTGTTCCCGTCGTGCGGGGTGTGATTTCTATGATGATAAAAACTACCAAAAATGTTTGTGTCCAGGGTGAGTGAGCGGTTGTTGTTCCGGCGACCCCCAGACAGAGCTCCTGGCCTGCCAGTTCATCCACCCAGTATCTAGACAGCAGGGATGCAAGCAGAGAGCCATAAGCCGAGACGAACTGCAATTGCGTAAGGTAGTCCCATGTCCTGGTACTGGAAAATGTGCCGTGTTACTAAGAAATGTGGTTAGGTGTATTGCTTGCCGCCAGAGCAAGGTAAAATGCTCTGGCGACGAACCCTGCGCCAACTGTATCCGACGATCACTCACTTGCCAGTTTTCAGAGGCAAATAGTAAAGTGCTCGTGTCTGAGAGGTTGGTCGTTTGCCAAGCCCCCCTTCCCTGTCGTCGGGTGGGCAAGAGGTAACCGGGACGATGGACTAGGTATCTTCGTGATTTGCAGAAGCAGGCCTACAACTGGCAACGTGCTTCAGGAGCCAAACGCTCGTGGGACTCGGCCTTTCGGATTGGGGATGGGGTCGACGAGGAGAGTACCGCCCATGATGACCAGGTCGCAGCAGAGATAGTCGACCCCCAGTCCCGGGGATCATCAGCATCGCAGGGGAGCGAGTATACATGCAACATCTGGACGAGCCCCTTCACATTACCCTCAACGGTCATTAAGGACCCGCATATGGAACAGCGAAACTGGAGTTCGTCCGCCATCCATGATGATAACGTTGGTTACCCACGCTGACACACGGAACAGTTTGGCTGGCCCCGACGTCGGCATGGTCGCTCACAGCGCGACTGATGGTCATGATGACCGAGAAGCTCGACCTGAATGCGACACATAATATTCCCAAGTTCTATCTGGATGGTGATATCTATCCGTTCGTGTGGGACCGCGCCACGGCCAGCGAGCCATATGACACAAGTGGCTTGCCTTCGGTTGATTATGCCTTATACCTGTTCAATATTGTCAAGTTTCACCTGGGGCAAATGTACCGGTTCTTTGATGAAGATATCTTTGTGTCCCAGATGCATGAATTTTACGCGAGCGATGCAGCTGATAAGGCCAGCAAACCTCGTTTTTGGTTTGTACAATTCCTTTTGGTCCTGGCACTTGGCAATGCATTTGTGTCACGGCCTCGAAACCAATCCAGCCCACCCGGCGCCAAGTTCTTCGCGCGGGCTATGTCCGTCATGCCGAATCATACCTCCACAGGAAAGGATAGTCTGTTGGCCATCGAGACCTTGGCCCTGGCCGGGCTATATCTGTATGCAATAGACCACAGAGAGGCGGCTCACGTACACGTAAGCATGGGTTGATCAGCTAGATGTTCCCCGCTAATCTACGCGCTGCGCCGCATAGGTCGGACATGCAGTACGCATAGCACACCTGGAGGGCTTACACACTCAGCTTCCTGAGCAGGAACTGGGCACTGCAACGGTAACCCGATGCCGAAACCTCTGGTGGACCCTCTACATTATGGACAGGCACGTGTCATCCTCGCTGGGCCTGCCGATGACGACCAAGGACAGCGACATCAGTACCCTGATCAACACCCCAAGCATGGGCTTCCAGGACATCACCTTTAGCCTGCAAGTGAGGCTTTCACAAATGCTGTCCTTTATTTTAAGTAGTAAGTTCCCACTTCGACCGGGTTGGATTGCATTTCATCTCTAACGTGCTTGCATATAGGCATCTATAGGACAGAGAAGACCCAACTCGGAAGGTTTCTAGAGATTACGAGAAATATTCTGCACGCCATGGCTAAGCATGCCGAAGAGATCGAAAAGATGATGCAGATTAGCTTCCAGGGTTCCATGGATAATGTGCCTCAGGAGATGCGTCATATAATTTTACTATACCATCAGGTACGGGAACGGGTGCCACATCTTAAGTGTTTGAGACCTATCCAACTGTGCTAATGAATGTCATCCTAGTGCGTGATCGTTGCCACCAGACCTTTGCTTCTGTCGGTCCTGAAGGAACGGCTAGAGAAGTTAGGCCGTGCAGAGGAAGACTGGCAAAAGTTTCTCGCTCTTCCCAAATCCTTGATATTCATTGGGATTAAGTCTGCCGAGAAGACGCTTCAAATATTGTCGGACGAGAATGGCCATCTGGGTACGTTAAATGATGTGGACACATGAATGCGGTAGAGAGCATCAGCTCACGAAGCACCAGAAACATTCCTCCCGTTTGATCTCGAATTTACATACGCAGCTGCTCTCCATCTGACTATGGCGAACACACTCTACCCACCAGGGTCTAATGATGATACGTATAGCAGGTCTGCGCACTCAATCCTGGATGAGATGATTATGTGTGGGAATAAGGTGGCCGAGGTACGAAAGGATGAATTGCGGTGTATCGAAGGGTTATTCCAGGAGTTCGCCAAGCGCGTACAGCAGGAAGGTCTACAAGTCCTCACGTTATCGGGTCGGGGGCTTGCAGAGCCTGGGCCAGATGAGACCCCTAGTCAGGAATGCCGGGGACAAACGCCCCCGACAGAGCCTCCAACCTTCACAGAGTCATCCGCCCAGTCACCCTCCGTGAGTCAGTCTATCACGGCCAGCGTCGATCCCCTGGACAATGTGATCGGCATCTCTTCCTACGAATTTCTTCACATTGTGGATCAGATCGGCGGCTCGGAAATGCCCTACGTCTTGAATGTCGGCCAGGACTGGATGGACGGCGGTGGTATCGCATATCCGTTTGGGTGAATCTGACAAGGGAGTTCCAGCCGTTCAAGATTTAGAATAATAGAAGAAAGTGCTAAGCCTGATCGCAGTGTCTCCATTGTTTTCTCAGGAAACCTACCCTTTTCTCTGGCGGCCCGACATTGCAACCGGTGCTCGCTTGTATTTGTACTATTACTTCGAGTAGTATACGACCTTAATCCTACAACAAGATGAATGACGTTTGTCTCTGGTATCTTAAAAATAGAAACTACGTTGGGCCTTCCGGCACTGTGTAGTTTATCCTGCCAACAAGCAAGCGAAACTGTTGATGAGTCGACCACTTCAACAACGCATATTTCATCGCTTGAGGATGCCTAAACAGCGGCATGAATCCCACCTGCCCCATCCTTTGATCGGAATACTAGTCCCTCGCGATCTCCTACCGTTGATAGTTCACAGACTCCAGACAGGTTTACGTGGTCAACCTAAGGTATATAGACAAAGCTTGTGCCTGGCCCGTGCCTATTGGTATCGTTCACAGGTCTTTCAATTTGCCCTCAAGTAGAAGACCCCACCGTAACTCGATTTGCATCTTGCTGGCCTACAGTGCTAGGATTCCATAATTTTACACATCAATTTGGATAGCATGTAGGTTATGTGTCATTTGTTTGTAACTATCGAAATTGTCTAATGATTCGCTCCTCTATAGGGCTTTGCATTTCTATCTATTGCTTTTCAACACAAATAGTTCCTAGCACATTAATGCTCTCGCATGTAGTGTGGCTGACCCGCTAGACAGCACCTGCGCCCTTATGCTCCGAGCTCATCGCTGCTTCCATGATGAACGGACTTCGAGCACGGATTTGCTTTCCCCAGAAGAACATCAAAGTTGGCGCAAGGGAGAGTACCAAGGAGATAAACGCCAATGTAGTGCTGGCCCATTGGAATCCAAGGTTGGTGTACATACTCATGGTCGCCAGAGGAAGCAAAGCCGAGAATAGGTTCTCCCCTGTGGCGACAGCACCCATCGCACTGCCGGCATACTTGCTATAGGAATCCACAACATAGTCCGAGACCCCGGCCACGACGATCACACTCCCGGCTCCCACCATTGCCAGACCAATCGCCGGGGCGATCCACGGGATATGCGGGAAGGAGGTCCAGGCATAGGTAAACATGCCACCCGTAATTCCAACCACACCCCCAACCACTGCCAGATACAACCTGGCCTCCGGAATAGGCACACCCGGGGACTCGGTGTTGCGCGAGGCAGAACCAAAATAGAGCTTCGCGGAGAATAGGTTGATGAGCCAGCCTAAAACTTCCCCGATCACAATGGCCGCTTGGACATATCCAGCCTGGGTGTGACTCCAGCCATATAAGTCCACAAAGACCTGCTCTGCAGATTGTGTGAAAAGGAACAGTGTGCCGACAGTGAACGCGGACCATAGTGTGGAAACCAGGACCACGGATTCTGTACATACAAGAACCAAGGGTCTGGTCGAGCTTTGAACGAAGCGACTGAATGCAGAACCTGTCTGCCCCTCCATCTCCAGCTGAGTGAACGCTGGCTTTCCCTGTTTCCGCAATGCCTGGGCACGACGAGCGAGTATGACGGCACCACGAGACTCCCTGAACAGGAAGTAATACACTGGAAGAAGTGCCCCAAACCAGATCAGCTGGAGATACCCAATCCATCTCCATGACAATCCTTCAAAGATTGCGCCACCAATAACGGGACCCGTGCTGCTGCCCGCCAGGTAGGAGAAGATGTACAAACTCACGGGGATGGAGCGTGACTTTTCCGTTTCCCAGATATTACCAATGACGGAGGCAGATGTATTCGCCAGAACCGCGACACTGCTGCCGGCAAAGAATCTTGTCACGATGAGAGTGGCGAAGTTTTGTGCCACGGCCTGGGGGACGAGAAAGCAAATGAATACTAAATATGCTGACAAGAAGATCGGACGGACGCCGTGATCCTCCATCAATGGAAGAATGAACAATGAGGAACAACATCCCCCAAGTGCCCATGATGTCACAGGCCAGTAAGAGTGGGGAAATGAATCCTCTGAAACATGGAATTCTTCACTAATTGCAGCATGTGCAGTTGTGATAATCGTGCCATTCATCATGGTTATGTATGTGGTGAATACAGCAAGAAGGGTCAATGTCCATTTTTGAGCCAGGGACCAGTTGTACGGATTGGCCGAGTCATGATCTCCATCCCACGTCACCGTGATAGGGTTATCATCGGAGATCTGTTCATCTACCCCACCGTCATTAGTCTTTGCTTATCTTTCGTAAAAGGCAACGCTTACCTGAGTCGCTGCCATCTCGGGTTCTAGAACGCCCCAAGGCGTCCTGGAAGATGGATATGGGCGACATCGACTACGGGTTGCTGATTACTGAGATTGATTTGGCGCAACTTCTTCGGGAAGATCGAGTTTGACGTGATACAAGCAAATTGCAGCTGGGGTGAAAAGATTAGATGGCGGTTTCTGTGTAGTGGCACCTGTGTTTCGTACTGCTATCTCCACTCCTCTTTATATCGAGAGTTGTAGGTGATAATTGTAGCAGAGCCGTTCGAGAACCAAGACAGGAACCCTGACTAAAAGGCGATCATCACTCGTCTCGACTATTCGGCGACTCCCCCTTCTCCAGATATTGACCATTTTTGGACAGGTGGATCGCTTCTCGGAAGGTATCGGGTCCCCGGATCGCCATCAACACCTGTGCTAGGTGTAGAAACCGTGTTGGGGATGTCCCTGGACTATGCCAAGGATCTAGGCTATAAAACCCG